CAGACATCAATTTTTAGGCTTCGGACAGGACCTTGTGGTCTTAGAGCACATCTGCACAGGATATGCATACAAGAATCTGCTGCCTGTGATTGTGTGGGGCAGAAAGACAGACTCCTGAGCACATACTGCATGACTGCCTAAACTACTCCCAGCAAAGACTGTGGATCTGGCCCAAGGGAGCTACAGTACAGGACAAGCTGTGGGTGACCGATGGCGACCTCAGACGCACGATCCTCTTTGTGACCCAGAATGGACTAAATGCTTAGCGTGGCTGATGTTGAACGCAGAAGAAGAAGTTGGCAGTTAGCTGGAATATCAGGTTTTGTATACGCAGTCAACCAGTGTTACGCACATGCCCCTACAGAAAATATTACTAATTATCACGACAAACCATTTATCATAGAAAAATAGCATCGAAAGGTAAATTTCTTGAAGGAGAAGCAAAATATCCTCATCAAGTGCCTTTCCGACTGGCACGGGCGATCATACCTCTCCACAATCTGCGATCCGCAGTTGTGTGTATCAGTTCGTGTGTTGACACCCCTCAATGCCGTGACAAACTGTTGTCAAGAATCTTCTCACGCTGTCTTCCCCTGTCTATCTTTTCACAAATCTGTTAAGTGATTATAACATGTTCAGTTTGTCCTCTTTCCATAACATGACCACAAAATGATGACTGTCTCTTTCTGATGTTTGTGATAAGTTGTCATCAAGCACCTGGCTCTTTCAAAACATCTGAGCGACTCCTCTTAGCTGTCCAATGAATTCTATGGATTTTTCTGTAAGACCACATCTCAGATATTGTGCGGTCTGTTTACTATTTGTCTAATATTCACAGCGATATGTTAAAACTGGCTCTATATAGTATGCAATAATTCTTTTCCTAATCTCCAATGGCATGCAAATTACTGATTACTGATTTAAGAATCGACATCATAGCACACAGGGCATACCCATAGATGCTCCGTCTCCCGCAGCGAATGTCTTAAGGTGTAGATGCTAAGTCGTTCTCTACCTCTCATCCGCCATTCCTTGCTGGATCCACATTTAATTCTTGCACATGTTATTTCATCTATCTCGTGTATTCTGTCAGCAGTCGTTCATATATAGTCAAGGATTTCTGAACATTATGGACGTCTAACGGTGGGTCTATAGAGGAACGAAATTAATTTCGAATACCTTTACGAAGACTTTTCTTAACACAAAAAAAAAAAAAAAAAAAACAACATAAATTTGCATTAAACTGTATCATAATGTTTATTAAATATATAAAAATACATGAATACTTTTCTTGTGTGATTAAAAATACAGTGGAACCTCGCTTAACGAGCATAATTCGTTCAAGAATCATACTTGTTAAGCGAAACACTCGTTATACGAAGCAATTTTTCTCAAATAAATTAATGTAAAATACGATAATGCGTTCCATGTCGAAAACATACTCACAAAATGCTATGTATAAGTTATACTATAACATTTATTGAAAGCAAATTATAAACATATTTAAGGAGAGTGAATCATCTTTATCTTTTCTTCAAACGCGGAACTAACCCACATGGAATGCGAATTTGATTTGCAGAAAACAAAAGTCGAAATAATTATGATACATAGCTAAATATTTTTTTACTAGAAAGATGTCCAGAGACATTTGTTTTTGTCGACGCTTCAAAATTTGGTGAAAATGCGACACCGCATTATCATTAAATTTGCAGCTCGCATAGCCACTTCCTTGTTAGGGTGATGCTTCTCAGTGTGAGAAGCAATAGTTTCCCATGCTTTCAGCATTTTCTTATTTTGCTAGAAGATTGTTGCTCCATAAGCTCTTCGATGGTCAGCTCTTGTCTGTGCTCTTCCACAAGCTCTTCGATATGACTGTTATCCACCTACAGTCCCATGATAGTGACCAAAGACACAATCTCGTTGACTACAGGTTCCACAGGTACTGTCTCGAACCCCTCAAAGTCACAAATCGACAACACTCTTCGGCCAAAGCTTCCTCCATGAAGAAGTTAGGGTTCTTTTGGTAACCATTTTCCCCGCCTTGTCGGTCATCTTGTCGATGTGAAAGTGATTTTTCCAAAACTCTTTGAGAGTGAGGTTGGTCCCTTCAGTCACCTGAAAACAATGCCCGATGAGTGTTTTAGTGTAGATATTCTTAAAGTTAGAAATAACTTGCTGGTCCATTGGCTGGAGTAACGGAGTGGTGTTGGGAGGCAGAAACTGGATCTTGATTAACTTAAATTCATCAGGGAGGTGATCTTTTAGGCATGGAGGATTCATGTACATGTATCACAATATAACACAAGTTTGAGAAAATGTGTGATCACAAGCGACAATGCTACTGGAAGGAGTGCTAAACACTGATGTAACATGCGTAAAATCCGGGACTTCCCCTCTCCTCGCCACTCGTTATGCGAAACGTCGCTCGTTAAGCAAGTCATTCTTTTACAATTTGTTTTGCTTGTTATGCGAATTACTCGTTATGAGAGGTGCTCGTTAAGCGAGGTTCTACTGTTTATGCATTTTTCTCTACGATTTACCGGAAGCACGTGATTTGACGCCATTGATTATTTTGAGACCCCCTCAACGGCGACGCTGTACGCGGCGAGAACTGCGACGGTCTTAGTTTTGTCTCAGTGAAAGATTATACGAAATTATAGCAATACGCGTGGTTACGTGGTAAGACATTACGGTTTTTGTACGGGTTTTAATTTTAATTTCAGCCTGGTCGCAGACGGTAGCAAGATGTTTACAAGTTCCAAAGAAGACGCGTTGATGAATTGGGAATCAAGATGGCGGTTTCTTGCAAGAGACTACAGTCGAGCGGACTTGTGCTTCTTCCACCGTCCACTAATCGAAGTCGCGACGCCATCGCGGAGCTTGGTCAATTCACGCTGTCTCTTCATCGTACCGGTGTATAATCGGGTATCGTTGTTGTGTAAACACATTGACGTATGTTGGCGTTTGCTTTGTCGTTGTAAATGTAATTTTGATGATCACATTTTTTGATAAATGAAAATGAAGTCATATAATAGTAATACGAAATGATGTCAGTAGTCATCAGTCAACTTGATGCTTGCTTAGCTGATGATTTATAGTTTTGTAAGGTCTTGAGCCATTATTGACCTTGTCATGATCGTGTACAGAACCAGCTCATCACTCGCTACAAAGGTATAATTTCTGGGCCATTGTCATTGTAATTGTTCTTAACCTTTCATTTTCATACTTTGTTAAAATATTCAGTGTTTATGTTTCATATTATCTTATAGTTTTAATTTAATTCACTATGTTTAACTGGGATATATCCGGGGAAGTTAAGAACAGTCATACTGTATCTTTAAACTTATCATATATGATCTTTCCTGGAAATGTGCCTTCCCAGCCAGTAAAAGACAACAGGTCAGTATAATACTCAATACTCATAGAAGACACATGGCATTCAGGAATAGAGGGAGGTGATTTCTCACCCACCCAGGATTCATGGTCTGCTTGATAAAGGCTGCCGAAGACCATGCACACCTGATGCCTGCATATCATGCTGTTTTTCCACCCCAGGATGCTGCTACCTGAAGGATTTACCCGATTTACACCCTGAGATAGAAAAATCTGGATGGCAGACCAACAGGACAGAGCATCATTCTCATAGTTGACACATGGCGTTTGGAATATGGGAAGGTGATTTCTCACCAACTTAGGATTCATGGTCTGCTGAAAACCACACACCTGGTGCATGCATGCTGTTTTCCCATCCTAGGCTGCTACCTGAAGATTTGAAACCCTAAGATGGAAACATCTGAGATGCCCTTTTTAACCTCGAAATAGAATATAATTTATAACAGTATTAACAGCACGGCGTGGATTGGGGCTGAACTAGATAGCTAGGCCTCATGAGCAGCAGCTACCGCATCTCCTGCAGCTCCCTTCATTTTATTTGCTTGTGAGTCCTAGCCATTTAGTTTAGCCCCAATTTACGCGGCGTTGGGGATACTTTCTGCGGTGGCGTCATAGCCCATTCTCTCTGTAGAACACAACCTGGGCAGTGTTGTAAAGGCCATGCATTGCCCATACAGCTGCATCCTTCCCTAGACCTTGTTTGCTTATTTCAAATGAAAGGTAACACCAAATGAAATGAACATTGTGGTTAGAAAGCCTTCATGAGCTTACGAGGCGGACAGTTTTACCACATAAAAGTTAAAAGAATAACTAGTCATACAAGTTATTCTTATGCACTGAGCTATGATTTAGACACTGCTGTCTTTCTTTTTAGTTGGGAGGGGGGGGGGGGGTATTAGGGGAATTTTTGTCTGAAGTAGATGAACAACCAGAACTTACCACTGCAGTTTACAGCCAGTGAACGCTAAGTAGTAACAGTAACAGCTTGTAGGCATTATCAGCCTAGCAATTGTATAAGGTCACAAATATATTGTGGTGGTAATTGATCATGCATATTTGTTTTTATGAATGTTTTTTTTTTTTTTAAATCCCTTACATCGTGTGCTCGTCAAATACCATAGGAGATCATGATTCGGTACAATAATTTCTTCCATCAAATCCGGTTTATCGTTTTGTATTTTCATCTGCCTCATTTTTTTCTATTTACCTATAATATGCTTTGCACCCCCCCCCCCACCCCCGCCACATTTTTACTAACAGTGTTTCTCATCCTGTCTGCTTATTTTTTTTGTTATTCAGAATATATAAATACTGTATTGTTTTCTTTTTTGCACAATGATTAAATGTTCTTTTTTTTTTATCCAAAATCTTTTGAGTCTTTTAATGTCATTCATAGTCTTGAGTTAACATGTGGAGGATTTGTCTTCTTTAAAAAAATACAAATAGCATTTCTCTGTTCAGTGACAAGTAATCTGTTATTTATTATTATATTTGCTTGCTATTTTTGGCTTGTTCGGTTATTGATTACATAGAAGGTGACTGCTTTTAAGTGTTGTTAAAAAAATAAATGCTTGTATTTTTTCTTAAGCCCTTCTGATCCCTGAGCAATGCCGGCCACAAAACTGTATGTTGGCAACCTCCCTGAGGATACCGATAAGACTGAGTTAGAAGAGGCCTTCAAAAAATTTGGCAGCATAGTGGAATTTGATATTCTCAAGGATTATGGATTTGTTGTAAGTTGCCAGGCAAATTAATTTTTACTTGGATATTTTGATTTAAAATCTCTTCCATCATTTCAGAAACTTTCATATTTAGTCGGATTTTAAGTAATTCTTAATACTGCATAGATTTGAGTTATAGTACAGATACTTGCTGTCAGAAGACACTGTAATTTATTGGCGGCAAAAATAAACTCTTGGCATGGCTAAAAAGGAGCTTCAAAGCTCATTGAGAAAAAAGGAACACATTAGTTTTTCTGTGGTATAATATGAACTTATGGTGTGCCACACACACAGATGCATTAAAATATAACCGAGTCCCGATAACGAACTGCAGTATTGACTTCAAAAAATTCGGAAGAAATGGCTGAAAGAACAGTTATCACTCCCTTGGTCTCAATATAACATTTCTAGACTCATATCCTTATTCCAGCCACCCCTAGCCTCACTTTAGTCCTGACTGATAATATGTACGAAAATAAAAAAGGTGCAGTGTTGATTGGGGAGATAAGTAGGGTAGGGATTAAATTAACGGCTACAGTACAACATGTTAATACACCAATTGTCTCTGACTGAAAGCAAATATGACAAGTAGATTGATTATCTTTTGCTTGTAATAGAAAAGGCAATGACAGATATTTTTGTTACTTTCAGCATTTTGAAAATGAAACAGAGGCCAAGGCAGCAGTAGAGGCAATGGATGGCTTTCAGCACCATGGAAAAAACATTCGAGTTGAAGTAATAATTTTCTCATGTTTTCGCTACAAATTATAGTTTTGAGTTTTGTGAAATGGGTATTAATATAGGATTTATTAGGTTTCATTATAACCTCAGATTGACTGCTAATTTCTTTAAATTTATTTACATTGTCATCTGAAGGTATAAAAAGCTTATAGTCCCAAAAGTTCATAAAACCTGACATGGGCAGAAAATGAAACACACCCATCTGTCCATATACTGCCACACTGGATGCTGCTGGGAATCTTTGTGGAAAATGTCATATAAAACTAGTGGATGAGGTGTGCAGTAAAAAAAAAAATAGCATGCTAAAGAAGTAAAGTGCTCATTTTGTGTAGATAATCAACATCCCAGGTCTAACTGGGAAGGCTACCTGGTCAACATATGCCCACAGAAGTAGGATGTGTTGCACGAAAGGTGCAGATGTCGCAGGCATGCTGTAAACTGGCACACCACAGTTACATATCTGGATAAACAAGGAAGATTTCATTACTGTTTTCTTTCAACAGATATCACGAAGCAAGGTTAGACAGAAGGCTGGTATGGGTGGTAAAGGAGAATGCTATCGATGCGGCGGAGAGGGACATTGGTCAAAGGAATGTCCAAGAGGACCGTAAGTAAAACATGTTTTGTATTTTACCTTTTTTTTTTTTTTTTTTGGGTTCTGTTTTTTTTTTAATAAGCAATAATGTAAGCTCATACCAATAACACTGACGGAATCTTTGTGGCGAAGTGGTAAAACCATCTGCAGCAAGCTCAGAAGCTCATGGATTTGTTTCATGGTTGCGTCTTTCAGTTCGTGAGTGCGGTGTTTAGGATGTTTAATAAGGAGTTTGTACTTTGTGCAGAGCTGCCAGCATACAGCTAGTTGATCTGCGGAGAGAGACCAAGCCATTTGGCGAAAAACCCCGGTGCGAAGTCGCTCCTCCTGACTTTAACCAGCAGCAATTGATATGCCAAGAAGTTTAAATGGAATGCTTTCTTTAGGTGTCTGCATGTATTCAAGTTATTTAAAAATGTAAGAGAAAAATATGATTAAGAGGTTTGAATCTTTTATGAGGTGTTTGAGAATCTAGACTTCATTGTGAGATAAAAAGCAGAAGTATAGTTTTTTTTTCCCCAGCGTTTGATCGTAAATTAGCTTGAGATTAAAGTCTTTTTTTTAAAAGTCATTTTTAGGGTGTGTCCAAGCATGCAATAAAATCAGGAGAATACTTGTGGTCATCACTGTCACCAAAAATAGGGTTGCTCCTTTGGGCTAGATTTCCATTTCCAGCATATTTTGTGTAGTGTTGTAGGAGGTTTTCTAGGGTTTGAAATTGTATGTCCTGCTTATTGTTTTTCTACCCTTTATCCTTTAGTAGGGCATAGGTTCAAACTCTCATCCGATCATTTGCTATTGCATGCTTCTCATACTAAGTCCTCTCCATCTTTTTAACTTTCTAACTCACAAATTTCCAACATTCTAGGGACCAATTCTGGCAATTTTGCTATGGAAAGAAGGTGTGGCACAATCCTAAATTATGTCGGATTTCTTTGCACCACCCTCATCATTCTTCTATGTGAAAAATCTCACTCATTTTGGCTGTATATTATATTTCACTCTCGTTTCACTAGCTTATTAATTCTGCTTACATTATTTGTAAAACATTTTTAATTTAATAGAAATCGGAAATCTTATTTAAATACTAAATTAGAACGAGATATATCATATTAGAAAAATATAGTATGATAAAAACATCTAATTAAATGTTCATATAATTCCAGATCACGAGGCTCTGGTCGAGATCGAAGAGACAGATACAATCCTTATGAGAGGGACCCTTACTATCCCTACCCATATGACTACTATGCCAGAGCCCGCTTGTTGCCACCACTCCCATATGACCGATATCGCTATGATGCCTATGAGCGCAGCAGATTGCCACCACTGCCTCCTCCACGTGACCCACTTTATCGTGACTTTGGGAGAGAGTCGGCTGACTACTACCGCAGACCGTCACCACCTAGAGATCCTTACTACGATTATTATGAGAGGCGCAGGTAATATATGAAAATACAATTTTTGTTTGATACTCTTTGTATAAGGCTAAATGGTAATTTATACGATGGTCTCCCCATTTACACATCACCGGTTGTGGGTCAACTCCATTGATAAGTTGGTTGGACTAGTCTACCGTGTTCCAGGTTATATGTGTCACAGTCTGCTGTTGTCTGACATTTGTGTTTTTATTTCCGAAAGACGGCCTGTGACATAGGTTTTGTCACTCTCTAGGGGGGTTGTGTGTTAGACCCAGTATCTAAATGTTTTAGAAATGTTAAAATAAAAGCTCTGGCATGGTGAAATATACAAAATGGGGTATGAGCGCGAGTGCAGAATATCCCTGTGACCTTGTGTTAAGTCTGATCGCTCGAAGCAGACCTATCAAAAGTAAGGTGGTCAGTAGGTCGTCCAGTCAGGAGCTAGCTAGTGTGTAGCGGTATGTAAATGGGGAGACCAGCGTAAAATTTACCGGCTAAATGTTTAAATGATACACCTTAAAGTCACAGCCTGTAGTGTGAGGTTAGGCAGGTAGTCCTCGGCAAAATATGACATTTCTTGAAGAGTCCAGTACCAGAGTGTCATGTATCAGCTGTGCATTTATAAAGCCTCCTTGTACAGTAGGGATTGCCTATGCTGCATCCCTGCCTTTCCTTGAGGGTTGACCAATCTGCACACAGATAACTTGGGGGAGGGGTATCTAGGGACAGTGCCCGTGAATTGACCTAGAAGGCTTACCCAAATAACAGATGCCTAAAAAAGTTGGCTGTCAGCCAGAATGTGTAGCTGTGGTGTAGACAGACAAAATTTACATCAATAGGACGGACAAAAAAAGAGGAATAATTATTCAGCATTTCAAAATTTTGCAGCAGTATAACTTGGTGATACCCATGCATTGCCAGGGCCAAGAAAGCAGTAACTAGTAACATTGTATTCTTTTATGCATACCATAATAAGCAACTAAGATAAGTTGAGCTGAATTTGCCTACCTAATCTCCTAAAATACTTGAGCCATAAAAGTCAGCCAGTCGGGTGCAGTTTGCAAACGGCTTTGGTTGAGTTAGCCATTGCCACTTTAGAAGTAGCAGTATTGACTGTCTACCCTGTTCTGAATGTTGTGCTGTTTTTATCGTTTACCAGTAATGACCAATGCTTTGATGCTGCTGGTTTTATTTTGACCTTGCCTTTTTGAGTCCTTACAAACAGTGTTATCACAGTGATGTAGCACACATTCTTGCTGGCCTGTTAGTCATATGTTTGACAGAGAAAGAGATCTATGTAACTTCTAGGTTTTCTTATCTACCGAGCTAAAATAGGTACTTCTAGGTTCTTTTATCTACCAAGTTGAAATGGGTGCCATGTTCTAGAAAGTATAGAGTTTACTTAACACACACAAGTTGTGGAATGTACAAAAGTCCACATATGAGCCTGGTAGTCCTCTTTTGTTTCCTGCGCTTGCCCTTCAGAAGGCGGTGGGTACATTGTGTTCTTGTCTACAGCTAGACACTGCGATTTCTGCACCTTTTGATCCGACACATCTGATTCAAGTAAAATGAATAGTAGTTACTTGTTTTAGAGCATGGGTCTACACCAGCGCACGCACACACACTCCCTAATCAGGCCACTGGACCCTCATTGTGCGATATCGCCTTATTTAAAGAGAGCTATGTTACTACTTTCTAAATAACCATTTATCTTCAGTAATCTGACGTACGGATGTGAGTCGTATACTATCTCTCAGTCCTTAAGAAAGAGAAGATGGGCTTTTGAGCTAAAATGCTATAGAAAGATTCTGAGAATATCTTGGACAAAGAAAATGCGAAATATTGACATCTTAAAAGATCTGACCATCGAGAAAGATTGGCTAATAAACAGCTGAAAATATTTTGGTCATATCAAGCGCCACGTCGGATTGGAAAAAATTATAGCAGAAGGCATGGTACCAGGAAGAAGGGGGGCCGGCCGACACGAAGATGGACACAGGATATAAGTGACTCCTTGAGTGTAAAAGTTCATGAGGCGGGAAAACTGGCGAGAGACCGAGTTTCTTTCAGGCAGACTGTGATGAGAGCGATGTTCTGCAAAGGACCTGCTACATGATGATGATGAATCTGACATCTACTGAATAAAACTTTTGCATTCAGGGTAGTGATAATAAACATGTTTGGTTACAGTATAATGGAAAGAATGAATCATATCCTTGACATTATTTTTATTTTTTTCTTCACATATTATACAGGTTAGCTGAACTAGATTCCTATGCTGATACACTTGGGTAAGTATCCTGTCATTATTTAAAGAATCTAAATTTTTTTTTTGAAAGCTAGTATTTGAAAGATTTATAACAAATTATATCAGTGTTTGTTGATGTAAGAAATCAGGCATCCTAACATTAATACACATTTGATGAAATCATGACTGAGGATACTACTCCAGGGAGGACAACAACTTTCTGAAGTCGGATAAAAAAAAAAAGTAAAGATTCCTTTTCACGCCTTTAGGCTCATTGGGCATATGGGAAAAGCACTCATATTTTTACAGACCAATCGGCACTAGGCGTGATCAGTATTACGCCTGCTATCTTCACTTCCCCAGGACTCGCAGCGCCTAAGCCACAAACGCCGCAAAGTCAGATATATCTGCTGAAAAGTTTAAATATCGCTGTGTTGCAATAAGTATGCACAGTGTGTTTATTCTGATGAACAGAGAAAGAAACACACTATATACTTGCACACATATATGATGATGTTAATAAGGGCACATTGCATCTCCTCCCCCCCCCCCCTCCCCCCCCCCCCCATGTCCTCGGATACCAGGATATGGTAAATGTCCTCCTTGTGTCATGAGTTAGCACTTTTTTGAACTTCCGCAAGCTGCACTTAATTGTTGCAGCCATATTAAAATTCACTCTTGGTAATACATGTCTTATCAACTGTCTCTAATGCATGCTTCTTATAGACCAGCTGTCCAATTCTACAGAATTGTCCTTGTTTTTGCATATTTTATAAGAACTGGTTTTCATTCCTTGTTACTCTTTGTGTTTAAAAGTTTATAATCCTAGGAATGCACTGAACTTTACATAGTTGTAAAGTTGCGTGTGTAGAAGTGAATTGTTTGCTTCATTACAATAACTTTGCTTTTTTGATTGTCTGTAGAGGATCAGCAGCAGCAGCCTCTGGTGGTCAGAATGACATGAAATCATTATCAAGAGCATCAATGCAAGGAAGAATTCCTGGACCGTACTGAGCAGTGACTGCACGCAGCTTTCTCGCGTTTGTACAGTGTCAGTGTCACGCTGTTACATTTTCTAAAACACCATCAACATTGTCGCTTTACACATTCATTGTTTAAACCCCTTTGTAGAGTGTCAGGGTCTTTTTTAAAAAAATTGTGTGTTGTTTGTTCAGAGTTGAAAAATCACACACTTGTTTTTCATTCATTGGGTGTAAGACAATTTACTGTTTGGAATTATGCATGACTTTAATTACTATGTTGCTTGTTTTCATTGTATTCTTAAAGAATGAAGCAATAAAATGTTTAAAAAAAAAAAAATTTCACGGAATTAAAATATCTCATGCTTTATTATTCAATCAGTGTATGACAGTTATTGTGTAACTTTTAAGAATTTTTTTTGCTTGTTTTTAGTTTCTTAAAGAATGTAACAATAGTGGGTTAGTCAGAAAAACTAGAAACCATCCCTAATTTACATATGCTTGCAGTAGAGGATAGCTCTTTGCATTTTATCTGATTTAGCTAATGTTATTTTTGTTTGTTGTTTGTCGGATACTATGTGGTTTTTAATGATGTATATACTGGTAGGCTTTGTAAAATTTTGAAAATATTTCATCCCCAAGTGGTCTGCAAGAAATGACCTTTGTTAGAGCTAAACACATTGCACAAGCCTTGCATTACAGTTTTTATTGTTCTATTGTCTTCTGGAGAATATTGCTTGGTTACAGTCCCAATTTCTCACTGGGTGTGACTTTCATTCTGTTGTCCAATAACCATGTGATTTTTTTTTTTTTACTCCACAATAGAAATCAAACTACTACTTGAGGATCATAAAATTGTTAAATGCATGCCTCTCAGCCACACAGATAGGTCATAGGTACATTTATTGTCTTTTTTTGGTTATTTTTGTTGAGATCATCTTCATCACACATCGGACATGACCATAAATGTTCAGATCTCCTCCTAAGTTTTTTTTTTTTTTTAAGGTTCTGGTTGATGTAACAAAGGGTGGCTCTTGCGTAGTTTTCCTGTCTCCCTGCTTCAAGTGCCATACCCAGAGTATGCAGAAAAATCATTTTCCACAAAACTGAAAGCCTTACAGTGTTGAGTCTCTCGAACGGCATTGATGATGTCTCTCCTGCCCATAGAGGGCCCGTTCCTAATAGTCGCACTGTCAGCCAGAGCGACTGCTCTCCTACATTGTTTCTCTACCAACCGTCTTCATAATCCACATAGATTTTGTGTAAACTTAAAATTGAGACTCTAAATTGTACCACATTTGAATGCATTAAATAATAATTTAACCGCCTGTATATTGTGATAAGTTGAGTTTTCAAACATCTTTCCAAAGGGTTGGTTTGTACAGAAGTGTAAAATGTACACCAGGTTGATTTATACACCACAATTTGTGGCAGTTTTAAGTCAAAGTACTAAAGTGTTAAGTCGGTACTAGGTCTCATGTGGCCTCTGATTTTTTTATTTTGGCAGCAAGCATTGTTCAGTGTAAATCTTGTGGACTGGGAAATAAGAAATTATTAGCAATTACACACTTCTTCTTGTTACGACACAGTTTATGTTTAGCAGACTTGGAAGTTTTTAAAAATATGTGACTCATCAATATTTCGTGTTGCTTATCTGTTAATTGTTTTACATGCTAATTGTAAGAAATGGATGTGTGTGTTTTTTATCATCAGATATTTGCTGGTGTGTGTGATTGCCACAGATCAGTAAACTGCTTTTCTAAAGAAGAAAACCAAGTCTTGGAGATTTATTTCTGCTGCTTCCTTTGCCACAAATGTTCTGTAATCTCACTATGCATGTGATGTGTGTATGTGGTCAGTGCCTTTGAGGAATAAGAGCAGCTGAACATGTTGAAGATCAAATAAATCTGTTTAGAGAAAATGTTGCAGCAGAATTTAAAAACGAGTTGGCGGATACTCAAAACAGATAATATGCAAAATAAAAAGTAAAGGACCCTTTTCCTCGCTCTTAAGGCGTATAAGGCTAGACCTATGTTTTATAGACAAATCGGCACAAGATGGGTGATGTGGTCAGTATCACGCTGACCGCCTTTACTTCCTTGGACTGCACCCGGTTCCCACTCAAGGCTGAGGGCCAAGGTCATTTTAAAAAAAAGAAGGCCCGGCCCCCTCAGAGAGTAAATCCACGACCTTCCAATTAACAGGTGAGCTTTGAGGCGCTTTGCCACAGCGACATCCAATGCAAGATAGACTGCTACTTAAACCATTACTATGGGACCTCTGTTGGCTGTTGCAAATGAAACTTGAACTCTTATGGGATTATCCAGATTGCTGTGGTGTGTATTAGTTAATTGCATACTTACGCTTGGTCAGTCCTGAAGTACTACTACTACTTTGTGTTCACCAGCTGTGAACTCTAGCAAGTTTCCCACATGCGTTTTACAGATCTAATTTTTATGCAGGCTGTTGGTTTCTCGCCTATCAGGCAGATGAACCATCCCTAATTGACTCTTATGACGTGCTGGTTAGGTGGAGCAGTGGGTCTGTTTTAGCTTGCCCCACAAAGGGGAAGGAGGTGTCTAATTTGTAACAGCTGTTTTCATGGCTACATTGTTTGTCAGAGGGTTCATATGTTAACTCTTCACATATGACTACTACTACTACATTGCATTCGCTGGTGGACAATTCTGACTTCATCCACTTCTGGACCTTGGTAAAAGTAAAGATCCATTTTCACACTTTTAGGTGCATTGGGTATGTGGGAAGAGCGCCCATATTTTTTCAGACCATCAGCACTAGGTGGTTAATGTGGTCAGCATTACGCCGACCGTCTCTACGTCCCCAGAACAGACCTTGATAATTTTTGCAGAAATTCTGAGTTCAGACTGCTGGTTCCTTGCCTGTCTGACTTTAAAAGAAACGCCAGTAGTTAGTTGACTACGACATGTCCCTGTGTGGGTTGTGGGGAAAACAAGAGTAGACCCACTGCTTTCCCAACAAGCAAGTTGTATTGGTCGACTAATTAGCGTGCATCTGTCTTAGAGGCATAGAACCAAGACTGCATACATGTCTGACCTGTAAAACGGATGTGCATGCAACACTCAGATTCTGGAACAAGAGAAAGTCCAGAGTTGGATGAACAGCCAGAGTTAACTGCTAGTAAATGCCAAGAAGAAAAAGACTTCAGCATGCTTGTTAGGAAGCAGTGGATCTATCCATTTCTCTAAAGCCCACAGTTGAACCCCAGAACCCACACAGGAAAGCCATGACTTAATGAGAGGACGTGGTCAATACTTTGGTTTTCACCTTTCCTCTGCCAGATAATTTTCACATTATCAGACCACGTTTTGAGCCATCAAATTTCTGTTGTAAGAGAATAAAAGCATTATTACTGAGAGTTTGCGATTGGTGTATGACCGGTGATCATGAGTAGTAAAGGAAAGCTGCATTTCTGATTATGAAAGGTATGCATTGTAATAAGTCATAGACGTCAACTAATTACGGATGTTTCCGTCGGAGTCCATCTGCCTGAGAGCTGAGGAACCAACGTTCTGTATACCAATAAGCCATGTCTGTAACATGGATACGCACTCAAAAACCTAGCTTCTGGAACAAGGTCAGTGGACAGAACCATAACTTTCCCCATAGTTTCTCCGCTCCTGTGACAACAAAAAACACACACAGAATGTTCTTCGCGGTCCCTTGTGGAAAGATTGACAGACTGCTGTCTCAGCATATGCACTAGCATACACACGCATTAAAAGCATACAGTAGACATCAGAAGTGCTAACACAAACAGTCCGACATTAGAAATGCAGTTCATTATCGAGTTCATAAGATGAATGGTGTTAAGATCTTTGTGATTTCCAAATTCGAGTATATTTCAAGCCACCCTCACGTCCTCCTTGAGTGTAAGGCATGATTCTACACACACTGACAAAAAAATAAAAAGAATCGCTGGAGGTGGTTCTCAACCTGCCAGACGCGACACTTTCACAGGGGTCGCCTAAGACCATCGGAAAACACATATTCATCGAAGTTATTGAGGAAAATAATTGTTTGGGGGTCGCAACATGAGGAACTGTATTAAAGGGTCGCTGCACTAGAAAGTTTGAGAGCCCCTGTTCATGCTGATTTCTTCAAAGCCATAATGTCCAATTACCATCTTGCTTTTTTGGTCCCCCTGACCCCCGTCAACCTTATTTTCCTCAAATGTCCCGTTGTAATGACATATTGCAGTTTTACAAAGTGCCCAGGAAAATGTTGTAAAGTCTCCTTGTAATAATGCAGGTAAGCGGCAATCTTCGATAGCAAATTTCTCTCGGGCTGTATTGATTGAATCAGGGAGGGAATCTTTCTCTTCGCGTTCACTGGTTATAAACTCTGGCGGAAAGTTCTGACTGTTCGTCCACTTCTGACATCTTGTCCTTTTCTAGAAACAGTGTTGCGTGCACATTCGTCTCACAGGTCTGACTAATTTTAATGCAGACTTATGGTTCCTTGCCTGTCAAGGAGATGAACTCCGACTTTGAAGTAAGCTCCCAATTAGTAGACTCTTACGACATGCTTTTCGGTAGGCAGTGGGTCTATTCTTGTTTCCCTCCACAATGAGGGTATGGAACTCACAAAGGGAATGAGAATAAAGGGATACAGATGATTGCAGAAAGGATTAGAGCTGTACGACAGAGACTAAACGCAAATGTTGACCACAACGATCTAGAAATCACATGCTACAATAATTGTGGAAGATTTTCTCAACCCTAGTCATTCTTCCTAATCATTTACGCTATCGCTATGGGCTGTGAGTCCCATGCCTCCTCATGACACAAAATAACACCAACGGCTGGAAAGACGGAAATGTGACAATCATATTCATTATGATTGTAATATCTCCATGGTGTCCTATCATTCGGTACAACTCACTAAGTAAAGCCCACAAAGAGAATGACTTCCCTTAGCAATGAAGTCACTCTCGTAGCTGGTCTGACTTGGTGAGTTGTTCCCATCATTCTTCTAAAAAAATCAAATTTTTGC